GTGTCTTTCGTCCATGCAGAAGTACCGTGTGCTGGTGTACAACGGAGACGTGGACATGGCCTGCAACTTCCTGGGGGACGAGTGGTTCGTGGAGTCGCTCCAGCAAGAAGTACGAGCTGGTGTCTCTTTCCATTCCTTTTCCTCTGTCCGTTTAGCTGCCCCCCATTGCCCAGGGGGTGTCCGTACTGAGTTAGCGTCATGTTCTCGAGAACTAAGGCCACATTCCTGAGAGAAAATTCTCTTTGGAAGTCAAGGGACGATGGCAAGGAGATAAACCGCCTTTTTGTAGCGTTTGTTTCCGAGCCTCCTGTAGCCCCTGAGAGTTGTCGCACTCCCGAGCAGTGATGTCACTCTCTCGGGCAGTGACGTCATTTTTTGAGCAGCGATGTCACATTTCTGAGCACCCATGTCACGTGCCGCAGGTGCAGGTGAATCGCAGGACCTGGCTGTACAACAATGGGGACAGCCAGCAGGTGGGCGGATTCGTCAAGGAGTTCTCTAACCTTGCCTTCGTCACGGTCAAGGTGAGCCCACCGTCCCGTTGCTCTGACTGGGGGGGGGGTGAGGGCTTCAGTCAGTTCAGTTGGAAGCGGGGGAGGAGTATGGAACTGCTTCTCTCTGCACACACTGTGCACTACTCCCTACCTGGCAAGCATGGAGCAGGAAGTGGTCTCTCATGGTTTCATTTGACATAGTGTTTGTCTGTCAAGACGTCTCCACGCACTCTACAATTTAATGAACAGCAGGAAAACTGATAGATAAACTTTAAACCTTATTTAAACATTTAAGAGCGAAGTTATTTCAGAGCATTTCTGCCTTGTACTGGCTGCGTTGGTAATGGTTTCCTGTGTGTGTGTGTGTTTTCCGCAGGGTTCGGGACACATGGTGCCCACTGACAAGCCGATGGCTGCCTTGACGATGTTCACTCGTTTCTTGAAGAAGCAGCCCTATTGAGGAGGGAGGCGATAGATCTGCCCCCCCCCCTCCTCGCCTCTGACATGAGGGGGGCGGGGCAGGTCTGCTCGTCGCTTCTCCCCAAGAGAGGAGTCACATCCCGTTCAGATTCTTACCTTTCTGTGCGATCTGATCTTAAACTGTCATGTTCAAACCGTGCACTGGGTTGGTGACTGCGTGCAACGTCAGTAACTGAGATGTGTTGATTTATATGCACAGACGTGTTCCAGGAATATAGTTTGCACAAGCTCTTTGCAAGTACCATTGGGCTACATTAACAAAGCTTTCGTGCCTTTTGACGTCGTGCGCTTGAGTGTAGCTCGTCTCTGTCTTGGATTAAACACTTAAACGTTTTCCCTTCTATCCAAAGCCTGATTGCCTTGTCCAAAGCCTCTCTAAACGATACTGCTGTAGTGGACATGTGTGAACTGCTGTCGGTCAATCTGAAAGCTACTGAAGGCATCTGCATGTCCTGCAGGTGTGATTATATCCTATTCGCAGCACATGGTACAGCCTAAAGCCATCGAGCAGCAAGTCCTGAGCACAGCATCGCTTGCCCAAGTTTACTGCAGAGCCCGAAATGAATATCTAATCGGTACTTTGTTACTCTTGTCTGCATTTGTCATTAGTTTATTTTTTATAGATTTTATATTTTGAACAGTGCATTCTCTGAAAGCATTGTAGAGTCGAATCAAAGGATAAACAAATCCTGTCAGCCACTTCTGCGTTTTATTTTAATGAAATCGTGGAATTCCGTCAGCAGCTATAAATGTCTTTGTAAGAAGTCAAATGTTTGAGCCACGGTTGTTGAGAATAACGCCTCACTGAGCACTGAGCTGGAATGTCACAGCCTGTGAGCCATCAATAATGTCTTATGTTGAACTACATATCGGACACGGTGAGACTGTTCTCACAGCAGAATGTACTGAAAGGGAAATCAAGCCTTCGTGCGAGCTTCCTTGGCGGTTGCTTAAGTTTATAATTCGTTAATTTTTTTAAATAAAGTTTTTTTTTTTTCCTCTTTTTCTCCCGTCATTTAAAAGTGTCGAGTGTTTTTTTCCGACGGTGTAAGTGAAGGTGGGAGAGGCTCTTAGCCAGCGCCGGGCCTGTGGAGTTTCAGAGGGACGGGCTGAAGAGGGGGAGACGGGTCTGTGAGCGAGAGTCCTCGGGGGGTTCTGGGAGATAAGGGCCGAGGGAGTGGGCCACTATCTTGGTTGCCAAGCAACAGCACTTGGAATGCCCTGGGCAGAAGCTGCGCTCCCAGAGGAGTCAGGGTGGAGTTGGAGAGGAAGCCTGTTTGGGGGGGGGGAAATTCTAGTTTTGCTCACGCCAACTCACGTAGACCCCAAGTTTTTTTACGTGAACCCCCGATCGTTGGTATGTTACTACGCAGGATAGCGAATAAGTTTCGAAGCTCCGTCAGTCCTAACCAACTGCTAATAAAGCTTTGCGATTCTCCCTGTTTCACTGAAAACACTCTTTACCCGACGTGGTGAGAGGGAGGTCTCCTGGCACAGCGATAAGGCCGATCAGCTTCACTCAAGTGTCTCTGTCTGGCCTGACCTAAACTCCTGTCCTTCAGTAAACATGTGACGTAAGTACCTCTTCCCCATCCATTCGGAGATTTCTCCTCTGGACTGCTGCCCTTTGTGCACAATTGGATGTCCAATATTGTTCAAAGGAATTTGTTCTAGACAGGCTAATTGACAAACCTTTTTAAAAATGCTGTGAGTCCAATATTATTATTATTTTTTTTATGCTGGGCTGCTGTTGATTTCTCTGTGCCACTGAGGGACAACAGGCATTCCTCAGACCCTTATCTAAATCCAACCTGTGGATCAGCCTGCAACAACGTCTGCGCAGAATCGGGCAGACGTATCCCTGAGCCACAACATTTCCTCTCCAGCAATCCCCATCGCTCCTGCTTGGAAAGCTGTGTTTTCTGGAGGGGGGGACGGTGCCCCTGCACCTCTACTCCAATGGCTCCTTGAGGCTAGAGAAGCTGGGAGAAAGGTAGCAGTACCTCTGATGAAGGGAATATTTTGGGAATCCTACTCCATCCTCTACAGTTAGGAAATAATTAGGCTGTTTAATTGACTACTGAGGTTGGAATAAAACTTGGAGCCCACCATTCTATACATCTGTTTTCTAACCACTTCCACCCAGGAGCCAGTGCCTATCTCGGCAAGCAATGGACACAAGGCAGGATACACCCTGGATGGTAAACGTGTCGTTCACAGGCTCGCACAGACACGCACACACGCACACCAACCGGCGTGTCTTTGGACTGAGGGAAGAAACCGGAGCACCCTAGAGGAAACCCACACAAACATGGGGAGATCATACAAACTCCACACAGACAGCACGCCAGGAACTGAACCCAGGGCCCCAGAGCTGTGAGGCAGCAATGCGGACCACCCCTCTTCCAACACTTTGATTCTCTTCTTCTGCTTTGGATACATTTTCTGACTTTTCCTGTCTCTGCTGCTCTGTAACAACTATGAGCAGATCGGAGACCATACAGTGTATATTCTTATTTATTTCACAACACTATATTGACTATATTGGCAATAGGACCGGTTCATTACATGGGTGTTATTTTGCAGAATGATTTCCTGCACATTTATAATCATGAGGGATGAAATTTTTTTTCTATTTTGAAAAACGTAATAAAATGTTAACAACCAAAAAAGTCAAGTACCGTGTACAGTATCGGAAAAGAAGGTGAATACGTTAATTGCTTAATTAGCAGAATATGTTTTAATGATCAGGTATTGTCTCTTAACAGCATTTGACAATCTTTTCCCGTTTCTTACATTGGATAACAGGGTTCTGTCCTAGATATAACCACAGAGCCCTTTCTAAGTCTGTTCCTCAAAAAAAAAAGTCAGTGATGTGCAGTTTTTTTATTCTAACATCAAATTAATGACTTTGTATCAAACCTTCATTTTAGCAGTTCACCAAAAGGAAAGCTGAATGTCACCATCGTTTTTTCTGGGCTTTGAAAAAATAATCTGTATAAAGTCATAAGGAGTAAGAACTGGCAGTTTGAAAAGAGAGAGACCGATTATGCAACTTGTGTACTAGACGGAATACTTTAGATATTACAAAATACAAGGGCCTTGATTACAAAACAGCACACATGGGCCTGAAAGGATTGAACTCAGGTGGCAGGATGTCGGTTCATCTTGTTAAGATCCAAGCTCCCCCTTTACTTCATTCCTAGTTCTCGGAGTGTGGTTTCTCCCAGTCTCCCAGTCAGGATCTCGTAGGGTGAGGCTGTGGACATGTCAGCGGGCCGTGACGGGGAGTGGATCCCTGGAACGTGTGGGGAGGACTAGGAGGCGACGGCTTCCTCGGAGAGTGTACAGCCGGGAGCTGGGCTGGCTCTCCCGGGGAATGCTGGAATGTTTCAGTGCGGGAAGCGGGAAGTGGAAGTGGCGGCCCTGTCGCTGAAGGAGACGAGCCGTGACCCCGGAGCGTGCTCGCGAGCACCACCGGCGAGCGCGCCCACTCGAATCCCGCCGGGCTCCGGCGCTCTGCAGCCTCACTGCCGCGCGCTTCCAGGAAGCACGACCGCTGGTAGCAACAAGCACTTGTTTTGACGGTATTTCCTCTGAAAACTATGGACGTCGGTTCCGTGAGCCTGAGGAATGAAGACGCAGAGTTGAAAGCGTGGTGCGGCGGCGGTGGGTGCGGAGAGGCGTGCGGGGCGCGGGCTGGGCCGGGGGGGGGCTGCGAGGCGCCCCGGCTCAGTCCAGGGTGCTGTTGGTCTGCAGGGGGGAGCGGTTCTTCTCTATCACCTCCCTCAGGCCCTTGCTGAAGTGCAGGTTGGCGCCGATAGTTATGAAGCCCTGGGCAGGGGAGAGAGAGAGGGCACGGATAAGGACAGGAAGTGGGGAAAAAAAAACAGGATCCAGCCCATGGGAATTCAGAGCACCTGAGGGCACACTGCCGGCCCCAGAGGAGAAAATAAGCAGGAAAAATACTCAACCAATCCCGAACAGCATGGGAATGAGCTGATGATCCCAGACTGTGAAAACTGGTGGGATTAAAGTGCTCTGTGATTTCTCTTCTGCATGTCTCACTGCAGAGTATCCCCCCTTATTTTCACGCTCCCTGCCAGAGCTGATCTCTGGTAATTGTCTGGTTGTCCTGAGGCCTCTGTTCACATTCGTTAAGATGTAGCTCCACTCCTGCCGGTACAATATTCTACAGCATTGACTCTGCACCCTGAAGGGGGCGCTCACCGTGTGGTATTGGACCACTTCCTCTGTGAAGTCCATCCCCTCAGGCAGGGGGATCTGGACCCCCTTCTTGGTGCGATCTGGAAGCAGAGAGACGCAGGAAGAGGTTCACACACAGATACAACCCTTCCAAGACAAGCAACTGCACGCACAGATGCAAATACACACAGCCAGGGGTACACACTCACACACACATGCCCACACACACACATACAGGAGCACACCCTACACAGCAGTACAGGACATCCTTCAAGACAGAGATAGGATGTACAATTTACAGCTGGAGAAAAATAAGCGTGCATAAAATAGATCATTTTAAAAAAAGCTCCACTTATTCGTTCCAACTTTCAAACATCACCATGGTCGTGGGCAAGTTTGTGGGAGGCCTCTCGCGCTCAGAGTGGTCAATGGCGAGTCTCCCCACCCTGCACTCACCATTGATGATGGGCACGACCACCAGCTGCAGGAGGGTCTTCAGGGGTCCCTGCAGGGGAATGAGCTGGGGGAACAGGACAGAGGACTGAAACGTGTTCGGCACCGCAGAGAGCCCCCCCCACCATCCCAGAACCCCCAGGACTGTCTCAGCTCCTACAGCTAGGAGGAGAGCCCCACATCCCAGACAGACTCCGGTCCTGGTCTCCCGGCACGGGGGTCTACGAAGAGCCGAGAGACACGGAGCCAGGAGAAAGTGGAGGTGCAGGGGTCAGGGGTCAACCTTGGTCCCTGTCAGCGTGGGGAGAGAACCCTCAAACGTAACCTCATTCCGGGGAGGAGAGCTGTGGGATGAGGTATTCTTTCCGGAGGGGAGTGATGCCTTCCTCTGTGTTTATTTGACCAAAGGGAATACAGTCACTTACAAAGTGGACCACATTCGACGCGCCGCCTCGCTTCGGGAGCGGGGTTTCACCGAATACAAACGCACCGCTCTTGTAAAAGCCAACCGGTGCTTACCCTGGTAAGAGAAGGCTGACGTGCAGTAAAGCACAGTGAAACTGTGCTAAAGCTCAGAGGTAATGGTAGATCCTTTCAGAAATGGCAAAAACAGATTGAAATTTACTGTGGTCAACTTTCATAGGGGTTTCTTGCTCTGTCTAAGGGTATCTTCCCTCCATCTGTGACCTTAGAACAGCTGTCAGGGTGTCCCCTTCATCTACTAGAACACAACCCTGCAAATATAGAATGAACCCAATATCGTGCTGCATCTAGATGATTGGTACCACAGAATTGTGCAGTACTGATGTGTGCACAGGGGTTCTGGACAATACAGACACAGGATACTGTGCATCAGACTTACCGCTAATGATTCCAGAGCAGACTGGTTAGAGTAGATCCTGAAGCTGCAAAAAAATAACAGCAAAAACGATTAAATGACAGTAAAGCAATGGAAGCATTTTAAAAAAAAGTAATGGTTTCAACACCGTCACAAGTCTCCCATCGCGGACAAATACAGAACGTTTCTCCGACACTCTCCTACTCCTCACAGTGTAAATATCAGACTCCTGTAGGAGCACCTGCTTCTCGGCCTGTTTGCTTCCTGTGGTGCCTGGTGCTGTGTGGCGCAGACCGTCTCTATGCCGTGTTGACGTGTCCGCTGTCACGGCCGCGCAGAGTCCGACACGAGCCTCTCGCACACGCAGACTCACGAGTACCTCGGTGACACATGACCAGACACCAGCCTCCGCCGATTCCGACACAGGTATCGGTTAGTTATCCGATCGGTCACCTCGGCACCAGACTATTTAAGGCTTCATTCCCATCATCACGGGGCTCGGTCTTGGTTTGCCAGTGGAGCTCTTTTTCCTCGCTGTCACGCGCTTTCGATTTCCTGACCCTTCAGCTTCCCGATCTGCGTCTGTCACGACCTCAGCTAAGGATACAAGCTTTGGCTAAGTACAGTACAACCGTACAACCGGCTCTTTGCTAAGCCAGAGTTTTCGCCTTTTGACCAAGTTCCGCATAGGGTCCTACATTTAACGTGGCTACGGCGATGTAACACCTGCCCTGTGCGCACTCAGAGTGGCCCGGGCCTGCACTGCGTCAGGCAGGGGCAGCGTACCGTCTCAGGTCCATGTGGATGGCCAGCTTCTTGCCCTTCATGGACACTTTGGCATTCATCTTGTTCTCCTGCGGACAGGGAGGAGACCGTTACAGTGCAATCTCTGTAGAAGACACTACCGTACAGATGGGGTGAAATGCACTGGGCTGTGAATAGAATGGGGGTAGAAATTAAAGATCTGGGGGCAGACTTGAGTACAGGCAAGAAATTGGACATAAAAATAATTAAGCCATTAACTGAATAATGCTGATATTTGCTTGCTATGAGTAAAGCTATTTGGAAGAGGCGAGGGGGGGGGGCTATTGCCAGAGTATGTTGTATATTTATGGTCAGTTTGTACTTGACTATCAGGCATAGAATCTATAGACTGGCTGTGACCTTCCTATTGTGCTC